TTTAATTATCAAAATTTATAATAAGCATAATCAATTTTACATATATTAAGCAGAATCAGTTTTACTGGTGTACCTCAATACACAGACTAGAAACTATTGCACTAAAGCACTAACAAATTTGAATATGAAAGAAGACTTTCATTGCTGGTTAAAGTGCTTAAGTAAATAGACTTAAGCACTTTAAGTTAAGGATTCGGTGCCTAGGATTAGTGGTTTACCATGTGACTTAAGAAATATCATTTAAATACCAAATACTATCATCAGATTTAATCAAATTGATACATTTTTATACCGTTGGCAAGAACTAATTTGGGTTACTATTCTCCTATATGGTGTATGTGCACAAACTATAATAACCGTGATATCGACATAAATTGTATCTCTGTCAGTCAATTTGTTAATTATACAAAGTCAATTATATCTGCCATTACAATTAAAATGTATTTTTATATTTTCGTTATTTTTAGTATCAAATTATAAATATTGTATACACCTGTAATATTGGGCAATTGCCTGTTTAGATGCAAATAAATAAATATTCAGAAATGAATATGATACAAAAGAAGAGTAATTCAGTCTTAATTCTTCATAATAAGACTTAAAAAATAAAAAAGAAAACAGAAAAAACAAGAAAGTATCAGCAAGTTAAGTACTTACCAAGGAAGAAGTAACTGCAGAGCATTCACAGGGTCCATTTGACTCCATCCGTGTAGCATTGCATGGAGATCTCCCAGACAAGCCCAATCCCAACTATGAGCTGCAAGAAGCACTTTTGGCAATGCATTTGGAAGGGAATGAAGGTAATGTCGCTTCTCCCAAAATATCTCCCTGTCTTCTGGTGGAGTTCTGAAGATATTCAAAGAACCAAACATTAATAGGTATTTCAGGACAACACAAACAGCGAAACATTTTCCATTTAATACATCACTTTCATTGATTTTTATTGAATGCATAGGCAACTCACAATGTGAGAACCAGAGGGTTATATCTGCAATTTTTGTCATTTCTGATTTTATTATATATATGTATAGAGAAAGCCATTATGTTTCAAATAAGAAAGATATTGTAACTAAATTCACATTAGTTTCAATATTATAAAAAGGGAAGTATAGTTCTACCTGCATAATTTTGCAAACCTGAAAACAAGAGTTTTATCTGCAGTACCCATTAAAAAAGCATGTAGCTGAAAGTGTTGAGGTTGTATGGTCACATTACATTACATGTTGGTATAGAAGGTGTATGTAAAGAGATTATAATGGATGAGGATACTATAAATAAGTGGCTGAATGACAGTTCTGATGATACGAAGTTCAACAGAAGATAACATTGGTGGAGAAGAGTATATACCTTCTCTGAAAAGAAAAAGACTTTGTAAAAGGTAAAGAGATTGCTTTATTTATGCACTGTTGTTAATTGAAGAGGTTTTTGCAGCTAGGGATAAAGTAATATAAATATTCATTGATGACAGTAGTATTTTCTAAAATCTAGTTTTATAGTACAGGTAGGTACAGCATATATTTTATAATCTCATTAATATAACAGCATTTTAGTCTTGTTTGCAATGTTATTAATGTTTGTACATCGTAACGTAATGTAAAAGTAATTTGTGACCTGAATTATTGAAATACACCAAGAAAAAAAAGAGAAGTAAATATACATTTATTTCAAATTAATAATGCATTTTCAGATTGTTCGAGAGCAAGGACACAGATGAAAGTTCTGATGAAGCTAAAAATTAAAAGTGCTGAAACGGAAAGTGAAGGAAACTCATGTCCTGGCCTTTAAAACGGAATGTAAGCAAAAAATTACTAGATCATTAGTTCTGTACAGTTCAAGAGAATGTAAAGATAGTGATTTTGAAGAATTCTTTCCCGTGGAAGAAAGGAGAAAGGCCAAAAAACAACAAAGAAATCCAAAAACTTGGAAAAAGAACATAAGACAAGAAAACCGGCAAAATGGAAAATCATACTTTAACACTGCAGGTAACATTGGGTGTATCAAAAGAAACTGTATCATCCCCGCCAAGCATTCGCTGGGGAGCAAATGTAAAAGAAAAGAAAAAAATATCAAAGGAGAAAGTGAATGTCATAAAGTTTATGATGAAATGAATGCCTGCAGTTGATGTAGAATATTTGAAGACAGTTCTATTATAAGAAACTTCTGAATCTGAATTACAGTTATTCTTGGAGACAAAAGGCTTTATATGCAATTTCAATGTTTTAAAAATTATGTCAGAAATTGTATGTTGATCATTAATGAATAAAATTTGTTTAGTACATTTGTCCACAGCCACATCATTCTCCATAACCTCTTTGTGCATTAATTAAAATGTACAATTTGCCTACCAGAGGGAGCAAATTGCTCTCCTGTAAAAGGAAAAAAAGTGTAGATAAGAACCCTCTGATTATGGGGTTGTGAACTTTCAAAAATATAAATCACGTTGTAGAAAGATGAAAACAAACAACTCTCTTTGCTTTTAAATTTTTAACACAAGAATACTCTTCTATACACACAAATTAGCTATCTAGATTTGTGGAAAAATATCAAATTATATGCTATTGAATTTCAAAAACATCCTTAAAAATTATATTCTTCTGGCCCTTCATGTACTCATTATTAAAAAAGAAAAGTATCATATGAAATCATTTGTTTGTTGAAAGAATTTCATCAAACTTTACCTTGCGTATGTATCAGACTGGCTAATGTTTTCCAGTAAAGCTTGGGTATGACGGTCCAAGCTATTAAAATCATATTTTGGTGCAGGTACTTCAGGGTCAATGAGAGGTGGAAACATAATGCGAGAGCCATACTCTGGAACTTCAACCCCTGGAAACCAATGGACAGTCTATTAACTTTCTTCAGGGAATCTTAAAGAACAACCTAATAAGGAAATTCCATTCCAAATATTTAAAATTTCAAAATATTTCTTACACAGAACTGGATCGACATCTCCATGAGGTCGAGTACCAGGAGCAGGGGCTGGACCCAACCTTTTATCAGCTACAGCTGGCCACAGGGAAAGCAAACAACTGCCTTGGGTCATCACACTGAAAACAAGTAACATAATATTCTTGTAACTTAACACATTGGATGAGAATTCGACACAATTGTAACTTAACAAAATGGATGAATTTCATGTGGATGAGAATTCTTATCATCGGATGCCCAAATAGAGAGAACTGCTGATGAGAATTCTAGTCATTTCACGCATTCTTGCGTTCAAGGCATCTATTACTGTTTTGAAGAAATGTAGCACTTTTCGGTGTGATACTATCATTTTTGGAACCTTTCATAGCCCCCTATATTTACTATGATCAGTATATTTCAAATATTTTACAATTTTTTTGAACAGGCAAAGGTTGTTGATTGCAACTCTCTGGAAAAATGTCTGGAAATTGTGGTAGGGCAGTGTCATGTGGTAACAATCCACAATGCGTTAGAAAATTATGATACGAAAGTATTATTGTAATACAGGAGAGAATAAAACATTGCCTTATAATAAAAAATTAAATAAATAATAGTCAAATACTGTAAAAGGAATTGCAGATGTAAATCAAATTCTTTTAATTTTATCCTAGAATGGAATTCATTCCTTAAAAAATGGGGATATATAGATGACAGTGTTACTTCAACTAGTTTCAGATGATTCACAAGACTAGTTATACAAGGAATCATGATATTAAAAAAGTATCTAGTTTCCTTAACTAGAGTTGTTTAATAAACAAAAGAAGGTTTTAGACCTTACCCTTCACAATTGAAGAACTGCATAGCTGCCCATCCAAGTTCAATCTTTTGCACCTGGGGCTCACTCGGAGCATCTTTGGAATCATTACCTTCTGGAGGGACAATAATTTGTCCATACACAACAAACACCAAACGAGATTCTCGAGGCAGCATACATATATTTGTGCCTTCAAAATTCAACCTGAAAGATGAAGTACATTCATTGTAATTCCTCACACACATTTTCCCTTCTTAATTTTAAATACTTCACATTTCAGTTAAGTAAAACCACAAGTGTTCAATGAATCGTGTGCAACTTTTAGAATGATTAAAATGCTGTTGAGAAATAAAGTTTAGTAACCCAATTAAAATTCATTTGTTGGAATAATACAACAATTACTTCATTTCTGAGTAGAACACAAAGAAATAAAAATAGTAACTGAAAATTTACTCACCAATAATCAAACATAACATGTGAAGAAAAATTAGTAGTTTTCTTGGTTGGTCTTGTCAGAACTGGATGTCCAACAGGCCTTGTGCCATGGTATATCTGTGCAGCAACTATAAACTCTTCATGATTCCAACCTTGCAGTAATCTATGTAAACCACCCACATGAACTAATACAGGATCTAGTAATTCACAACTCGACTTTGTGTCTGAAAAAAATACACAATCATACAATTTATTTAATTATCTATTTATAAAAGAAATAAAGTGAAACCACTAAATAACATTTTCTAAGGGACCATGAATTCTAAACACTGTATAGAGGAAAACACTATAAAGAGGACGACTGTGTCTATGCGCTTTTGGTTGGGACCAGAAAAAATTGACATAACATAAAGGAAAACATTATAAGGAGGAATGTTATAAAGAAGTTTCACTAATTTAGATATAACAGAGATAATAAAGAAAAGTAACAGATTATAAAAACATTGGAAAGCATAATAAAAGTTAAACCAAAGAGTAAACTTGTAAACAAAATAAAGAAACCTGCTTAAAGATATGAACGGAAGAGGATGAAAGACAAAAACAAAACAAAAATTAACAAAGATGGGCAGGAGTGCAAAAAATTGTAGAATTCAAAAAGATAAGAGTGAGTTATGATAATAATAATGACTATAAATACAACAAGTGTATAATTTGAAATTAATGCCACGTCCTATAGATTTGGAGTATATAAAAAATTCTCATCTCATCAACAACAAATAAAATAATTTTCATTCAAGTACATACTTGTTGGCAATTCAGCTCTGGAACTAATCTGAAAATCAACTCTGAAGGCATGGCAGTAGGTCTCTACCAGTCCTTGCACAGCCACTCTAATATTTTCACAGTTAGCACAAATAGTTTCATGAAGTGACAATATTTCACTTCTACGAGACGAAGTTTTACGCAAGGTAACCACAGAATAATCGCCATCTTCTCCCAAAATTTCTGGATGACAGACAGTCACTCCCACAGTGTCATCAGAAACCTAAAACAATAATTTCGGTAAGTGACCAATAACACAGTGTTGCATTAACCAATGAAATGTATGAATTTATGTGCAATAAAATTACCAGAATGCTGCAAGGCAATTTAATAGATGAATATATCATAATTTTATCTTTTTAAAACTGCTACAAAATTCTTCAAAATCATGAAAATTAACCATTAACTTAACCCATAAGAATAACTACTGTCCTGGTTACTGCCTTCTTTCTCACCCTTTCAGTGTATTGTCACTATTTCACTTTCTAAACTATAATCACACCAATTATATCAGACTGTGGAGCAGAAATAATTTTAATAAAAAAGCATTACAGTTGAGTGCGAAGATAAGTTTATCTCCCTATATAGACTAAATGAAACTAACGATTAATTATCATTTTTGGAATTAGTACATTTACAAACTGCACAAACTCATAATTTAGATTCACAAATGTTTTAACACTTTCATTTTCAGTAAATTTACTGTGTGAAAAAGGACTGTGAATAGGCCCCTTAAGGAATATATTAAGTAATATGTACAAAAACCATGATGCTCACAGTTTGTGAAGATGGAATGAACTGTAAACATGAAGATACAAATGCTTCCACTGCTTCAGTTATTTCTTGAGTTTCAATGTTACCCATGAGTGCACATATAAGTTTAACTGTTTGTAAAACTCCAGTTGACTGTAGGGAAGGCATAAGAGTAGGATCATTCATGTCACTCATTTGAGCTGCAGCATTTTGTACACGTTCCATCTCTTTCTCCAGTGTTTCTGAAAACGTTCAAGGTACAGATTTGGAAAAATGACTAATAATATGCTTGATGAATCACGTCCATGGCTTCTAGTTAATATGTTATTCCATTTACATTCTTTTGGTAAATCCTAAACCAATCAATCACTCATCACCCGTTAAAAACAATTTTGAATTTAATATTGAAAGAATCCTCAACTATTCACACCAAACACATTTAACAGAAATGTTTAGAATTAATTATTCTTACACAAAACATTAATATTTTTATCACAAATTCTATCTTAAATATAATATTTGGTATACTAAACCTAAGAAAAAAGAATGGGAGAACAGAGAGAGATTAAGGAAAGCACTGCAACAACTACAACAAAGAGAAGGGAAAGGAAAACACTTTGGAGTTCACAATTTTTAAAGAGGCATGAAAAATATATTTACATGATTCTTCCAAAGACATTAAAATATTTTTTATAAGCATTATAATATAAAGACTAAGAAAAATCCCAAGAATGAATCCCAAATTCTCATTGAAGAACAGTGTAGATTCTCCCAAGACCTGTTCAAGACAAGTTCCTGGAACAAATTTCCCACTTTTCCCGTTCATTTTTAAAAATTGTTTTTTCGTGATAAAATTTGTAATTTTTCACTTAAAGAAAATTTTAAAGCTACCCTTTTACTAGTTGGTCAGCTCACTATTTTGCAGTGACTATATATGAATGAACAATATTTTCTCACCTGATAAAAATTAAGAAAAAGTAATGCTGTATTAATGTTTTTAAAGAATAAAATACAGTTTTGTAACACACAAAATTTTCTACAACTTCAATGATTCGTTTACAAATTCTCCTATTTCTCCCAACTTTTCCACAGCAATGATTTTCGCTGATTTTTTCTAATTTTCCATGTTTTTCAGAAAGTAGTCATCTTGCTGCTGTATTCACACTTCAGAGGAAAAACAAAGAAACATGAGATCTCAATATAATAATATTATGTTGGACTGATGTGTTTCTTTCTTTTTCATATTATATCAATAACGTTTAAACAAAAGTTAAATAATCTTAATATCAGAGGATATGATGGTGTGAATAAATAGAAACAAGCATATTAATGTACTATATTAGAATACATATGTAAGCATACAGTAACAGAATATCATAGTTAAAAATATCAAGTACATTTCAGTCATCAGTGATAGTAAAGTGAAATAAAGATAAACAATTTAGATGAGAATTAACAAAGATCTACACCAAGGATGCACATAAGTATTTTTCTTCATATATCATAAACACATGAGACTAGAATAAATAAAGAAAATGCAAGAAGTCAACAAGATAACAAATAAAGAAACTATTGGATATAATATTTACGTATGACTATTATTACAGAAGGAAGAAACTGCAGAAGACAGTGTTTCAGATGGAATTTTTCTTTGAACAAAGTAACATTTATAAAGAAATAAATGTCAAAAAAAGCAATACCACAATGGCAAAAACTCCTTTAAGTCAAATTTGTTATAGAATATTAAATAATAGAAAATGTAAACCAAAGGAACATAAGAAAAAAACTGGAAAAAAATTGAAACAACAAAATAATAAAAGATATGTGCTGGCCACAGCATGAGGAAAGATTTACTATCTCTAGGAATTCATAATGAAACCTTAAAGGCAATATTGAAATATGAGGCACACATGTGGAAAATTGGCACAAAGTCCAGAAACTTTAGGATACATGAAGTAACACAAATGAATTATTTACAGTAAATCAGGGGTAATCTTCAAAAAATTAGAGAAGTACTAAAAGCCATATATTTAACAGAGCAAATAAAAATGATTTCCAAGGAAGCAAAGGAAATTGAAAAGAAAGGACACACAGGATGGTGATAATATATGAGCCTCAAGGCAAAAGAATGTACTATAATACTATAGTGCATCAGAGGAAACTATTTAAACTGTAGTTGTGATAGTTTCCTTCATTAAATTTTGATAATTATACAGTAACTTCGGAAGGAAAGAAAAAGACATGAAAAGAGAAAAAATCTTTTCTCTATGGTGTAACTTTACTTACCTAGTAATATAACAAGCTGATCATGAGATATTGGTAGCACTGGTTCATTAGGTAATAAATCTTCAAGAGAAAGCATGCTGTCATTATTGTCATCTTGTATCTAAAATAAAATACACAAATAACAAATTAATTTCCTTCCATCACATTTAACAATACATTTAAAATGGAGATTGAAATTAGTACAGAAAATTTATAGAAAATTCAAAACTGCAGGATATACACACAGTTCTGCCTAGGGGTCTCTTCAGTTCATCCACATGCAGAATGGACAGTTCCACATCCTTTTCCAGTTTCAAGCACTGGTGCACATGTTCATAATCTGCCAATGATGTATGCGAGGTCAAGTACTCAGCTAAGCCCCACACTTTTAGCACATAGTCTTTGGCGTCTCCACTGAGCTCCCCTTCTAATTCGCACACCACGTGCAGAATCACGTGCTCTACAGTTGAATTTACTGGAATAAAAATACTGAGATTAAAACATGAAATTTGTCTTAAGCATTTGATTCAGCTAAGTTCTTGCTATGATGAAGCTTCAAGAAATGTAATTTCATGTAAATGAAATTTAAAGTCTCTTTTTTAGCAACTGCTTAAGACAACCAAACAAAATAAGAAAGTCGCACTTTTATTTTCAGAGAAAGTTAACACTGGAAACAAACTTTTTGTTTTTTCAAGTATCTGAACAAAACTATTTTAGAAAATACATTACCATCACAGGTGAAAATGACTGGGCTGCCTTCACTTTTAGAATGCACGATGAGTTTTATGCTCGTACCTTCAGCATAATAACTATCAATGGTTGGGCTAATGACCAGCCCCACATTCGTGTACTGGTCATTGAAGGGAAATTCCTCTGCAAATACACAATTGTCATTATAAAATATTCTTCTTCAAAATTATACATAATATTATTTAAATACAAAAATTCCTTACTTCGTATGTTTTTCACCATTTTGTGGAATGCTTGAAGATCCACATCATGAAGAGCGGCTCTGCACTTTTGAACTTGGATGTTTTCATACAACCTCGTCTTTGTTTTACGCTAATCAATAGAACATATAAAAAAATAAAATAAAATAGAAACTTTATTTATCATCTTGCAGAGCTTACTTAGACATGTATTAAATCAGTTACCTTTCTGTCCAAAGATGATCTGCGTCTCTCGATTGTGCTCCATGCAGCAGAATTGCGTGGTGGCAGTGGAGGAGGAGATGTGCAGCCAACTGGAGTGGTACTCTCACGGACAACGGCTGCATACACTGGGTCTGACTGAGATCCATCGTGAGATGGAGCATACATATAATCAAAAGGATCGTAAGGATCATACACACTTCCAGAGCAATCAGCATCTTCTCCTTCTGCAACAAAATTTCAAAATGATCAACAATTAATCCTCTAAATTATTATTCAAAAGAAAACAAGTTATTTAAATGAAGGCTAATTTCCTTCTCAATAACAAACAAAGATGAAAAAATTTAAAAACATAGAACCTGTCAAATATTACTCTTCAAAAACAGACCCAAGCAATAGCCAAGCAAAACAAACAAAGTAGGTAAATTATTTTATGAACCTAATTTTCAATTAAAGGGACTCTAAACTAGAGAGACATTCATGAAGTTCATAGTAATTAGAAGTAAGGAGTGGCGGCCTTTACATCAACTTTATAAATAATTAAAAATTATTACTTATCAAAAGTTATGAATATTCAATTAAGTGAGACCTGCCTCTCTTGTGTATTATAACATTATCAATTACTTTTCAAGATAATCTTCAATCAAAAATAATGCATGCACTCAAAATTTTGTTCTTTAGAAATAAACAAAAGCAATATTTAAGAAAATGACTTGACTTCCATGTTCCCTCTTCTTATTACAGAAAAGATGAGTTTAAGAAATATTCTTAGATACATAAGGAAAGTCATAATGGTGTTTCAATCCAGCATTTTCTTTTTTCTTCTTTTTTTTTTTCACTCTTTATCATCCACTGATTTACACTTTCATTTACATTGAAAACAGAACTATCAGGTCAATGATGAAATAATTTCAAAGGGGCGTAGCTTAGACTATCTCTAGGCACACACACTTCATACAAATGCAAAAATTGTGAATTAAAATAGTTGATTCTGTTTCACTCCTGAATATCAAAAAAAAGTCTGATATTTATTTTATACTTGAAAAAAATTTGTAGTAGTTTCAATTACCCTAACCAAAATTCTACAATAGTTGAAGTGACAAATTTTCAACTAAACTCATTTCTAAAACCCAAATAAAGTAAATCAATTTTTTTAACATCAACAATAAACATTTCATGACTTCTTTATATCACAAATTATTATAAATTTTGCAGAAGTTCCTAGTAACATTTCCTGTGACTGTCATTCAAAATAAACTCATGGTGAGAATTTACAGCACTTCTTGTTACAAACCAATCACTCCAATGAATGAATATAATATGGGGTCTTTGCTCACATGATAACACAAAATATTGAATGAAAGTAATCTCAAAGAAAGGATAAACATATTTCCTACCTTTTGAAGAGTCACCTTGTGCTTTGTTTTCAGATTCAGGTGCAGAATGGGACCCACTGCTAGTACTTGTCTTCCGGCTGCTACAATTGTTATCTACATGCAAGGGATCAAATAGATCCAAAACACTCACTCGCACAGAATTCTTCTCATCTATTTCACTTGCACTATTGAATAAGGGTAAATCAATTAAATTATTATTATCTCGCTTTTCCATTACTTTAAGAACATCTAGACTAACATTAGAATCCACACTTGTATTACTTGTACTGCTAACTTGACGTTCAAAGGCACTCCACGAGACACTTGACTGGTCAAAAATTTGCTTTCCTTGAAAATCATTTGTGCTCTGCATTACAGGGATAACAGTATTATATACAGCACCATCAGTTTGCAAAGGACTAGGTCCAAATCCAGATGAAAGTTGTGGAACTGAAGTTCGTTGTTGTGGTAAAAATTGAGTTTGACCTCCTAGCATTACATTTCTATCTAAACTACCAGCACGATAGCTGCCATGATGTCCACCCAAAGGGGGAGTAAATGTATGATGATTTGAGTATGTTGCTGTATAAAATGAACTAGATCTTGTGCCAACACTACTTTTACTTCGTTCAAGACGAACTGTAACTTGAGGTTGTTCTTGGGAAGCTGCCTGCAACCTTTCTGAGCCACACAGATCTTGAATAGAACACTGATTGGTCTTATCAGTGGGAGATGGACTATTGAAGGAAATTAGGTCATTTGTATTCAACTCCACATCTGGCTTAGATGGAACTGCAGCAGCTGCACTGTTGCGTCGTTGCCCACTTGGCGGAGGAGCCAGGATTTGAGAAACGCGTGCACCAACCAGAGAAGGTCTTGGCCGGGGTTTGGGCTCCAATTTTTCAATGGGCTTTCTTCCTGATGATATGCATCCTATAAAATCAAATTGAAGAAAAGTTTTTAAATTTCAGAAAAGTAGAGTTAGTTTCAATTAGTTATCTTACTTAGAAGCAAAATATCAAAGACATATTTCCTAATATTTAACACTAATGCAATTTACTTCACAAGAAACTATAAAATTAATATTACATAATTTAATAAATTAACTGACACAACAGTCACTGTCAACACTGCTACAAGTAACTTATCTTACTGATATGCTATTGTAGCTACAAAGAAAGAATAATGTGCTTCTACTGCTACCCAAGGGTTGAGTAAAAACATTTCCAACTACTTAGTCAAGTATGTGAAAAACATCTATAAATAAACAGCAACCTAAATATAAATATGACATACATTTGACATTAAAAGTAGTTACGTTATAATGACATACCAGATGGTGTTCTTTGATTTGTATCAGACAAATCTGATATTCTTTCCAGCTGCTTCTGCATTCTGAACTTTTCCAAGGCCAAACTTTCAAGGCTAAGGGCTCGGGCTCGCTCCAAATCCTCTTCAAACTGGCGATCATAATCAGACTGTGGTCCATTACCACTTGGTGTTTTTTGGCTAAACTCAGTCATCTAGAACAAAACAAAATAATTTATTTAAAATAGTTAATTTGTCAAAAGTCATAATTTCTGAAGATTTGAATACTTATTATTTTCCAAGATATAGCTAAACTTTTAAATGCAGTCATCTTCAGAGGTTTGAATCATGAATTTGTATACCCAGTGAAAAATACTCTTGAACGTTCATACATCAAATCAATTACGAACTTTATTTCAATATACAAAATCACACCTATATTATAAAATAAAATATGAAAAAAAAGAAAAACATTCAACATTGTCCATATCATCATCCAATCAGCTGTCATTTAACCTCTATTCGATGACATTCGAACATTTGTTCGAGAAATGGCATTACATATTTTGTTCTGTACCAACCTTGTTGAATGCCTATTTTGGCCAGCTTCTTCACTATACATACATGACAACTTCAGAACTTACATCACTCTCCATTCAGCAATAAAACATGAACACTGATTTGACAATTCACGAAAACATGCTACAAATCCCAGTAAGGCAATCTTTCTCAGTGGCATCAGTGCTGCCCTCGCACACCGAACCGAGAATTAATGAGAACAATGCAGTGTTTGGATGGAGGTCAATTTAAATTAATTCTCTTTGTCGCATCTGCGCCCACGCTAAATTTCAATTCATCTGATCCAGCTAGTTTGTAAAAACAAAGAATAATTTCATGGCAATAAAGTTGGCTATAGAGAACTCTGATACAGCTCCTTCGGACGTAAATACTGATAAAATTCCCCGGTAAACTTAAGTTACGATTAGGTAGTTAGTTACCAGTACTATGTACCGTAAGTAGAAGCAGCGGAAAGTAGTACAGGACTATAACGTCTCGCAATTATAATACAATTCTGCTGTTTCATTTCAGTTATTTCAAATAACATTATATCGTTAAATAACTTTCTAAGAATGTGGTTAGAAGATTTATTAAGGCAGAAGTATATTTTCATTCTTTGTGATGTTCATTAACGTTTCTGATAATTATATTTACGATTACGTTTCAAAATTTCTTTGATACGTCAAGTGTCACCAAATATATTTTCAAATTAATAAGCTCCATACACGCTAAGCAGCTTAAAGTTTAGGACGTGTAGTATTGTTGAACCAATCCAGAGTTGCTGAACCTACTATTGTCTGTGTCGTGCTCGCGGAAAATAAGTGAAAATATGTATTTAATAGAACAAACAATTCTAAAGTGTGCCTTTTTAACCTACTAAAAATTTATTGTCAGGTGCCATACGTATTTAGTGTAATCGGGAACTTCAGCTACAGAGGTAAAGAGTCCCGTAAGTGCAGTGCAGGTTCTATTTTTAATATTTTATGGGGGAGGGTCGACTGCTGAAATTCGAGATTGAATCGACGTATAATTCAGCTTGTCGAATAATTACTCCTGCAGATTTTTCTACATTTATGGTTGTCTAGTGAATTAATGTTTGTGTGTGCGTGTGTGTGCGCGCGCGCGCGAGAATGAAAGGGGGGGGGAGGAGTGAATAAGAACGAGGAAGGCAGATGGTGCGCAGTCCGTGGTTTGTTTGATAGGACAACGCTTTTGCATTCGCCTGATATCGATCGGAGTAACCATGGGAAACTTTCAGTGGGTGAATTCGATCCATTAATGAAGAAAATCCGCCACCGTCGGGATTCGAACGCTAGGACCACGCGGTCAGAGACACTGCAGCGCCAGCAGATGTCGTCACTGAGCCATCACAGCCAATTCATGAAAGGAAATACAGGAAAGAAAAGAAAGAAAAACAAACACAACATATCCGCGAGAGATGGTAACAGAAGCGCTAAAATATTGATACCAGTGTTTAACTCGGCACTGAAGGCACACTCGTCATTCACGTAATTTAGGAACCGTTGGTCCCTTTGCCACACGAGTCAAATGTCATTAATAATCAAGTGTCGTAGAACACTTTATCTACCGTTGATGAAGTCTCGCCAACGTCACCGTTTTTATAACCGCCACCAGTCTCACGGTTTCCTTCTTGGAGGTCTTCGACTATTCATGCACGCGGCCGGAACGCCTCTCGTTTGTTCGTGTACGCATGCTTTTTTTAGAGCGGCAGACACCAACAGCGCCTCAAGCGACATAAGCTGAAGCTCTCCCACCAGGAGACAAAGGCGTGGCATACCTGAAGCCCGATGTTTTAAATTTGAACCGCGTGCTCTAGCCACATAGAAAGGTTTCTGACGAGTGTCGCTGAAGCAAAAGTGAATGGTCACTACGACTCTTTATCAGGGCCGGGTCTAGAAAATCGATTTTTTTAAGGGACGGGTCTAGAAATTCTATTTTTTTATGTTAGTGGTGGTTGTGATGAATGTATTAGTTTTATTAACAAGGACATCTGGGCGCTCGAAGGATATAAAGCAATTCTTCGATTTTCACCTTAATAAAAAGTGTTTTTAATTATCAGAAAACGTCGCTATTTGATCGATACCAGCGCAAATCGTAATAGCAGCAAGCTCTCTTGAAGTACCCAATCACTTAAATTCTATATCTATTAGGTGATTCTATTACAAAGAGAATAATCGACTGAATAGTTTGCTTTTCTCCTTGCAAACTACTACCGACAAGGTTTTGGGAGAGGTCATGATCTCCTGTGACCCCCCCCCTTATCTATCAGTTTTACATTTGAGCAACACTTTGGCGGTTCCTAGAAAACTTGTAACCTTGGTATCGTCGCTGTGATCAGTCGACTGAGTGTGTCTTCCCTCCCCCGTCTGGGAAGGAGTTCACAACCATTAGAGCGCCCCGTTTGCGTTAGCTTAGCAGCAACGTTTTTGCCTCTGCAGCGACTCTGACAGGGAGGTCTTAGGGTTCGAATCACGACGCTGGCGAATTTTCGACATTAGTTAGTCAGCCAGGTCGAATTCAGTCGCTGTCTGGAGGAGAATTACAGAGGCCGGTTGCTCTGATCGGTAGTTTTCCGTGGTTTCTCGAATCAATACCAAGGAATGCCGGAGCAGTACCCTAACAAACTGGCCACAGACCGCATGCGATCTTTCCTTCCTCTTTCTTGTCCTATTCTTACCCCTTACTTACACACGCACGCACACACACACACACACACACACACACACACACACACTTTCGTGCACTAAACTACCGCACGTGCCGGGAGACCAGTCGGGAGCTTAGAGTTTGACCCAGCCGGTGGCAGTGGTGCCCCGCTGGTGGAAGATACCTGTTTGAAGAAAGCCCCTTTGTGTAGTTCGGTGCCGGATATCACCATCCAGCGGGAAGATCACCGCCACCTTCCAAGAGTAAAACTCGCACTATACTTACGGAACTATTAATGAGCCCGGAATTGTTATGAATCAAAGATTAATTAATTGAGTAGTGATTCCGGGCGCGTCAACTACTAAGATCACTACTCTTCGATTTATTCAGAGCTGCCCCTAACGTAAACCAGCTGTTACAGGGTCATTCGGAAGGTTGAACGTCACCCTAATAACGTCACTGCAGAGACGTCTGAGCTCCCGATTGAATGACATCGTAACAGCTGATTGACGTCAGGGACAACTACATAAATCAAAGTACAGATCCATAAGTGTAGTGCACGTTTTCTCTCGACAGGTAGCGATGATATTCCCCCGCTAGCTCGTGAGACCCGGCGCCGACCTACTGTCGGCTAGTGGGGTTTTCTCCAACGAGGTATCTCCCACCAGCGGGACACCGCCCCAACCGTCACAAGTTCCCGACCTGTCTCCTGGCACATGTGGTGCATGAAAAATGTGTGTTTGTAAGGGGAGAAGATAGGACAAGGAAGAGGAAGGAAAGATCGCACGTGATCCGTGGCCCGTTTGTAGGGTACTGCTCCAGCATTCGCCTGGTGTTGATCGGAGAAACCACGGAAAACTACCGACCAGAACAGGCGGCCGCTAGAATTATCTTCCAGACAGCGACTGAATCCGACCTAGCTCACAAGTTAGTGTCGAAAATGTTGCAACCGTCGGAACTTGAAGCCAGGACCTCCCGATCACAGGGACTGCAGTGGCATCAGTTGACGCCCTGAGCCATCTCTCCCGGTCCAAACACACTTGGGAACTCTTCGGTCTCGGGTCAGGAGACTCACAAAGCCTTCCGAGACAACACACGTACTTGAAAGGCAAAGGACAATTAACCATGCCCACGAAGGGACACGAACCAGCGACCCTTCGACCCAAAGCGCTAAGTTGGCATACGATCTAGTAATCACACGATGAATTAATCATTTCCATTAGGATTTTTTTCTTTCTTTTTTGACTCCGTACATTAAGGTGGAGGTCGATCAGGATATCCGAGATCACTAAGGCAGTAGTGTCGTGGCGATCTCGCATCGCAGGACCGCGGGTTCGAATCCCACATCGGGCATGGATGCATTTCTTATAGTCCCTTCCCCGTTCATCATTATCATCATCCTACCACTTCATTGAAAAGGAAGATTAGTTCCCTGCGCAAGCAGAAAGCCCTGGCCGGAATCGTTAATGAATCAAAGATTGATTGATTAGTGATTCCTGGAGCGTCAACTACTAAGGTCATTACTCTTCGATTTATTTAGAGCTGCCCCTGACGTAAACCTGCTGTTACAGGGTCATTCAATCGGCAGGTTTTAATGTCACCCTAATAACGTCACTGCAGAGGGCATGTTTATTTGTCTTGAAGGGGATGTGCCGTTGGCTAATAAAGAAAAATAAAATAAAAAAAAATGTATGTGGAGGCGCGGGCCCGACGTTCGCCCAGAAAGTGTGTTCCCCCGGGGGTCGCGGGCGCGCACGGCAGCTGGCGAGCGTGCGCTTCTTCCCGCCCGCCCGCCCGCCCGCCCCGCCCCCCGCCCCCGCCACCACCTGCCGCCGCCCCTCCGCCCCGCCTCCCGCCCCGCCGCCGCCGCCGTCGCCACGGGCGCGCATCACAGGAGGGCGGAAAGCAAGCGCACGCACGCGCCGCGCGCGCGCGCAGGCATCCCGGGGCGTGCCGCGCACGGGCCCGCCGCCGCACCCGCCAAAGAGTGTGCACCCAGACGCGCGCCTGCCGCCACCTATGCTTTGTTTCGCGCGGCGCCCGTCACCGGCTCCCCCCCCCCCCTCGGGCACAGAAAGTATCAGGACGGACACGCTGCACATTGCCGCGGAGCAGCTGCTCGCGGAGACGTTACGGCGCTGGCGACGTAATGGAGAAAAAGAGGAAGGAAGAACATTTTAAAAAATAATAGGAAGACAGGATGTACAAAGGTGGTCCTACGACTACGAACTACGTTTGGAACGTGCTAAAACTGTTACCACCTTGACAATGGAATAAACTGATTGCATGATTTGCATATTCACATTTCATTACGAAGTGCTCGTACATTTCAAGTTCTTTTGTGTGAGTGTATAACTGAAGGGCTTTTCAAGAAAATAGCATTAGTCTAAAAATTCAATTTGTGGGAAATGAGAAAAAAAACAGCCATCTTCCTATCTCACCTTCCTAGCTCACTTATTTTTCTTCCGTCGTTTTCTTTGGGACTAATGTACTTTAGGCCGAGTTGATATTATCCTCTGATACATTAAA